CGCAGTTTCAAATCTCACAAACGAATTTATTGGCCCCAAGAGGCTACTGACAGGAGGGCAGTTATGTGCCATTAAAGTGGTGTGGTTTATAGAAATATAAGGAAATACCTTATATTGAGCCAGCCTAGTGGCCTTTGGCAATGTTTCCCTGCTTATTTCAGTTTAACAAACCTTCTGTGATGTTTTAACTCCTGTGCACTGCCCACACTTAAATTCGCTGCTCAGTTGCATTCCCCGACATGTATCTTCCAGGTGTAAAGCCCTTCGTGCTTTCTGTTTGTTTGTTTGTTTAATTATTATTTTTTTGGGCTTTTTACTTTAGATAAAAGGCAAGCAACAGGCAACATCATAGTGTTGCATAAAATTATGCATTGCACAGGGAAAGGTTATAGATAAAAGTGCTCCCCTCTCACATAATACTAGAATTTGTGGATATGCAAAGAACCTGAATGTTGGAAGATTCAGGACAGATAAAAGGAAAGTACTTCATGCTTTCACATAGAACTATAGAACTTCCTCGCATAGAATGCAGTGATGACCACCAATTTGAGTGGCTGTAAAAGACTATGAGATAAATTCATGGAGGATAAGAATATCCTCCAGGACAGCTGCAACACCTGAAATGTGTGCCCAGGGGTAAGCAAAATTGTGCCATCCAAATGTTGTAGACTACAACTCCCTTCAGTCCCAGCTAGCTAAGGCCAATGGTCAGCCCTAAACATTTTGGGCCTCAATTATTTGTTAAGCTGTCTGCACCTGTACCATCCTGTTCTCATATCCTAGGTATGTGGAATTGGTGGCCATGAGAAACAGGACATTTGGTGTCATGGCCCCACAGTGTTGGAATTCCTTCCCTGTAGATTTGCAGTGAGTTGCTAGTCTCCAGACATTTGGAAGGTCTCTTTCAGTTGGCTTCCATTGAATAATTTCTTTTTCTTCCCCTGGCTGGATTGCAGGTAGAATTGGTTATGGTATGTTTTAATGGTCAATGGGTTTTAAAATTTGGAATTGAATGGGTTTTATTATTTAGTATTTTTTGTCATTCTTATGGTTTTTTTGCATATTTGGGTGGGCATCACTCAGAGAGAAAAGGAGATGAGTAGAAGCAAGGAGAGAGGAAGACTTCAGATTCCCAGATAAAGGATCTGTAAGGTATAAGGATTAAGTCATAGGCTTAGGAATCCAGGAGCTGGAAACCAGGAGCCAAGAGTTGTGCTGGGGTGTCAAGAGTTGAGGGACCAATTCAGGAGTCAGAGCCAAGCCAGAGTCAAAGAGCACATCAAAACACCATCACATCTAGGAAGACCATTGTTTCTCAAGCAAAGTCCTATCCCAGACGGGAAGTCTTATCATAGCCCTTCCTGTCAAGAAAGGTTCAATAGCCAACCTGGGTGGAGGGCACAGATCCAGAGGCTGAGAATACTTCAGTGCCTTAGGCTAGAAGATGCTTCAATCTGTAGTTCTGGGCATACTGGACAGGGCAGTTGTTCACAGAGGTACAGCGGTTTCTTTAAAACAGCCTCCTCCAACTAGGTGTCAGTAGTGGCTGGTACCCAGAGACAGGGAGGCAGCTGGTGTAACCAGAACCAAGGCAAGGCAACTAAACATTCAAGTTTCATCTCCATCCTCCTACACACTGCTAAGTCAACACTGGGACTATGGTGGAGGAAGCTAACAGGCAATGCCACCTCTTGGTCTAGTTGCAAGTAAGAAGCATGTGAGGACCAGCTGAGGGCAGACTGAGATTGGTGGGATGGTGCCCCATTCATACCAATGGACCAATCCCCACTTCCAGTGCCCTCCAAATGTTTTTGACTACAACTCCCATCAGCCCCAGACAACACTTTAATATAGCCCCAAACACCTGGAGGAGAGCAAGTTGGCGGAAGGCTGTTTTAACATAAGATACTGCTGTTGCACACCATCCCCAATCTCTGCTGAGAGTCCAGGTGCTTACCCAAGACTGTGTTTTGTTAGAAAGTCAAGGCACAGTGGTGCAGCCTCTCCCACCCAGCACACATTGTGTTCTCGCTCCATTCATCCTCTTCCCAAAAGCCCTTGCGAAACACAGCCAGGCCCCATGCAGCCACTCTTCTTTTTCCTTCAGCCTATGTCATGCAAGCTGGAATCCTAAACCCATCTCTGCCCACTGTAACCCTGGCAACTCACAGATTCTAGGGTCCTCCCTTGATGTGCTGAAGACTGGGCATCAACATCTTTGTATTTCTTAATGGCTTATGCCCAGGTGTTGCTCCAGCAGGAAAGGCCAGCTTAGTCTGCATTTCTACATTGCTAAAGCCAACACCTGTCATCTCACCTTAATTCTCGAAGCACTGATTAAGCCCCAGCACCCAGGAGCCTAGAAGAGGTCAGGGTGCCCACAAACCCTTAACAGTATGTTGCACCAGGCTAAGGAACATTGGCTCACCTCTGGCCTGGCAGCTGAGCAAGATTTCAACCCTGGCTACTGCCACCCAGATTTCAACATTCTTGCCACTAAAACGGGCTGGTTCCTTCCATCTGTGGCTGCTGGTGTGTGTGTGTGTGTATATATATATATATATATATATATATATATATATATATGAGATCATACTGCCTCCTACTCAGCTGCTTTCCGAGCCACCTGTGAGATTCATCTTCCTCCTGCTGAGGCATCATCTTCCAGTGGCTCTGAGTCCTGGGCCATGAACTGCCACTGAAAGCGGCTGCCGCACTTTGTGTTTCTGCTTACCCAGCAACTTGATCAAAAGCGAAGCAGATGAAAGGGATCCAAGCAGCCTTTTCCTCTCGTTAGTCTTGCTGAGAGGGCAGCCTAGCCAAAGGGGAAACAGTTCCCCCTCTTAACTGCTTCTGGCTTTTAGCTGTGCTTCTGAAGCTGTTTTCATTCTGGCAACAGTGCTAGCCCTTTGCTTTCCCGTGTCACTTGTGGCAGACAAAGAGAAGGGAAGGCTAGCAAGGTAGGATTGATTTGAGCATCAGAGTTCAACTCTGGAATCAGCTTTCCAGTGACAGGGTTTGCCCTCCAGACCACAAAACACTGTAGCATCTATAGCAGGGGTGGGGAAACTTTTTTCTGGGCAGCCCCCTAGGGGGCTGCATGCCAGTAGTGAGTGAGGCCATAGGCAAAAGTGGACAGAGCAAAGAACATACTTTTTCTCTTTGTGCAATAAGGTCATTTTAACCCATTTTCACAGACCGTTCTCTATCCTCCATCCAAGCAAGCAAGACCATTACCAGAGTTCAAAAGACACATTCCAGCCAGGCAGAAACACTCAAAAGGGATACAAAACAGGACTGCTGAGGGGTGTGGCCTGTGGAGAGTCCCAAGGGCCAGGCAGAGAGGCCTGAGGACCACATTTGATTCCAGGAACTGAGGCTCTCCATCACTGGTCTAAAGGACTGCTTACTCCAGGGATGTGCAACCTGAAGCCCTCTGCCGAATTTCCTAGGATGCTTGGCCTAATTGCAGAAGCAGAGAGTATAGGACGCTGCCATATATCAAGTCAGACCATTGATCCATCTAGCTTAGCACTGCATACACAGACTGGCAGTGCAGGGTTCTCTCCCAGTTCTACCTGGAAATGCCAGATATTGAACCTGGGACCTTGCAAAAGAGATGCTCTGCCACTGTGTCACTGTCCTTCTGCACAGAGGTGATGGAGAGGCCCTTTCTGAGAAGATATAGGGCCCATGCTGCTCATCAAGCATCACTTGAATATCTGGCTCTCTCTCTGCAAGTACTAGGCAGCCAAAGCTCTCTTTAGTCCTTAACATTTCATACTTCTGGGCACTTACATTGAAAGAGAGCGCATGCATGCATGTTCCCCCGCTTCTTCCCATGCACCAGATGCTGCATGTTGCCTCAAGACCTATAAGGAGCACACCAAATGGGATTTGCTATTTTCTTTCAGTTGGGAAGTTTCAGAATCCCTTCCAACCCCGGGCTGCATTTTTCCATTTCATTTAGAAGCTTTAAGCTCTGCCAATCACGCCTTCCAGCCTGTGCAGCCAAGGAAATGCACATTTTCCGTCTTAGTGAGCTTGTATCTTGCCAGTTGTCGGATGCAAAGGCCTGAAAGCCAGCAGAAAATGAGGCAGCAGGAAATATCTTCAAAGCTGGGGAGAAACCCCACTACGTATCTCTGCTTCTTTGGTGGTGTAGTGGTTAAAACTAGGACCTGAGAGACTTGGGTTCTAATTGCTGCTCAGCCATGAAGCTAACAAGATGGCCTTGGGCTGGTCAGATTCTGTCAGCCTAGCCTACCTCACAGGGTTGTTATCAGGGTAAAAAGAAGAGAACCATATGTGCTACCTTGAGCCACTTGGAGGAAGGGTGCAATAACAGTTTAAAATAATTTAATTCTCTTATTTCCCCTACTGCTTTTTACCCGACAACCACACCTGACTTTGGATTTAGGCACCCTTTGCAGAGACGGTGAAGCCTTAATGCCCAATCTGCTCCTTCTCTGTTCCATTGCACAAAGCTATGCTATTATTTTTCTCCTGCCCCTTTTCTTCCTGCTTCCCCTCACCTGGTTTCCCTTCTTTGCTGCACCTTCTCTATTCCAGATTAGTATTGCCTTGGCATTTAATTTTTTGTCCACTGGTCAATTAAGCACAGCATATAATGAAAGGTCAGTGTGGGATTACTTCCTGATGCAAACAGAAGCTTCAAATGAGCAATTTTCATCAATACCACACTTAAGATTACTCCACTTCTCTGCCTGCTCCAGTCACGATGATTATCAGCGTGTGAGTACACACAGCGGGGGCATGTTAAATTCAAAGATGCTTTTATTGTCATGGCATCAGGAAGTATTTTTTATTTGCACTGTACGTTAAATCCCATTTGCCATTTTAAGGTTCATTCACTCCATTTGGACAGATCCTGTTGGAGCTCTTTGCAATCCCACTTTATATTTACCAGCTTGAATAGCTGGGTGTCATCAGCAAACTTAGCCATGTTAATGCACACCTGCCGGGGGGTGGGGTGGGGGTGGACTGTAGCTTAGTGGTAGAGCATCTGCCTTATAAGCAGAAGGCTGTGGGTTCAATTCTCAGCATCTCAAGGCAGAGCTAGGAATGATCATTGCCTGAAACTGTCAGTGTAGACACACTCATGAGCTAATGGTCTGTCTTGGTTTAAGGCACCTTCCTGTTTTCCTGCAGCTAATTTGGCTCCAAATGTGATGTCAGGAGCCATCCATGTTTTACCCATATAAAACTATGGCTTTCTAGCTGCCACTGAAGCTAGAGCACCAGCAGAGAACATGCAAAGCTGTGCATGGGCTGCGACAGGGAACTTCACATATTCACATTTGAATAATCATTGTTGAGAAATTGGAAAAATAACCAGGAACATTATGTCTGGGAAGCAGGGTCAATTCAGTGTAGTGGATGGAGTTTTGGACTTACCCCTGGGAGACCTGAGCAAACCATGAAGCTCACTGGGTGATCTCATATCAGATGTTGTGTCTTGGATTAACCTACCCACAGGGCTGTTGGGAGGACAAAATGTAGGATAGACACCAGGGATACATCGTAAAAGGGATTGCTCCTAAAAATGTAATGAATGAATGAAATTTTCAGCAGTCATGTAAGTGGGGTAGAAGAGGTTCAGACATGTTGCAGTGCACTTGTGTAAGAGCCAGAACCATAGCCCACAGTGTTCATTAAGAAAACCCTCTCTTCTCTCACATTTTGCAGAAATGACTACAAAACAACAACAACAAAAATAACCTCTTTTGTGTAACTGCCTTCTCATTTCCCCTCAGCACTCAACTTTTGACAAGAAGACCAATGAAAAGCTGGCTAAGAGGCAAACTAAACATTACATATCAATGTGTCTAACAAAGCACAAATTGATTTTCAATGAAAAGCAGCCATGGGGGAGTGCAGTTTTGAGCAGATTGGCAGTGGGGGACAAGGGGATGTTCCCAATGGCTCAAAATCTATTGCCCTGTGGAGGAAGCTAGAAAGAACAGCCTAGAGATTGGCCCCCTGTCTCACTTATGCTGTTCGTATGGAAGGCCCCCGTAGAGGTCCATTTTACTGTGCATTCATGATATGTGGTCATGATGCTATTTGGGTCACACTATTGGTGACTGCAAAAGTTCTGGGGTAGTCACACTGCTTCATTTTCATTTAGTGCATATCCTGTAACTTCCTGTGACTTAACTATACCAGAAAAGTTCTGGGTGGTGGTGTTGCCCCACTTTTTTGCACTATCGCCCCTCCAGACACCAATAATATGGTAGCATTGGGGAAGCCTTGAAGAACAAACTACCTGAAAAATCACATCTCCCTATACAAACATTCCAGGGTGCTAAGGTCCTTGGGCAAGCACCTTCTCTTAATCCCACCAACATCAGCATCACTGTTGGTGGTGACACAAGAGAGAGCCTTCTCTGTGGCAGCTCCCATATTGTGGAATTCCTTCCCAAGAGAGTTTAGATGGCTCCCTGTTTGTTATCCCTTTGCCGGCAGGCTAAGACCTTCCTATTCAGACAGGCTTTTGAAAATGAAAGGTGCAGGCGGTGCTGATCACTGGGTTGCTGTCAGGGCAAACTGTATTTTAATTTCTGGTTCTAAATGTGTTCTGGTGTATTTTAATTATTGTTTTTATCTAGTTCATTTTTATTACTTTGCAATTTATAATGTCATTTTTAAATGCTGTAAGCCGCCTTGAATCCCAGTTCGGGAGAAAGGAGGGATATAGATACATTAAATAAATAAGCAAGCAAGCAAGCAAACTAAAACAGAAATAATCCACCACGAATGCACTATTATTGTGTCAAGAATTTGTCGCAGGATGCACCTACAATAAAACAAGGGGCTCTTTGGTGGCCTCTGACTTCCCCAATTCCTGCCACAGGGCTACTCCAGAAGCACCTTTCCTCAAGGGGCAGAGAGAGCCCGGCTCTTTTCATTGTACCTCATCTTGCTGCTTTATTATACAGTTTTGATTGATGCTTTAAACATTCTTATAAAATGTTTTTTTTTTTTTTAAGTACACTAAAAAAATGATGTTAGGGTTGCCTGAAAAGCAGCTTATGAATACCTTAAATTTCATTTGTTTATTTGCCTAGCTAAATTTATATACCATTTTAGTGTTGTAAGACATCCTCAAAGTGGTTTACAAAAATGTTAAATAGAACATTTAAATTGTCAATGAGAAACAGTTAAAATCAGGCATTCAAAAGATGATTAGAATCAACAGTAAATAAAAGAAATAAAACACACGCAACTTCTACATAGCTGGATAGACTTACCTAGATAAAAATGGATTTCAGCAGGTGCAGCAAAAGTGCATGTAGGGAGACAAAAGTTCAGGAACTTAGAAAGTGCAGTTACTGCCACACTAAAAAACTGATTTCGTGTAAGCCAGATGAACGTTTTGTGGCACCTGTAACAGTGCCGAATAAACAAATAAAATCACTCTCACACATACTTCTGGAATATACCACAGGGGTACCATTGCACAGCTTTGAGTGTGGAAAACAGCTAGTAGAGAAAGAGTGAAGAGTTCTCTCTCCCCCACCACTCCTCTGCTCAAAATAACCACCTCCTGAGCCTTATCTAGGGTGGCCATGAGTCCTGCTTTATTGAGGACAGTCCTCTGTTTGAAGAGCAGTCTGCTCCAAATCTGGTTTAAAAATAAAGAGTCTTGAAGTTCTCGATCAACAGCACCTGGACAGCAAACTGAGCAAGCAAAGCAGGTCACCTGGTCAAAATCTTCGCCAATATGGTGAGATATGTTGTATTTCTATTTAAATTATAATTCTTCTAAATTTGCATCAATACATTTAAAATAAATACATGCAAATATCATCCAAATGTACACACTCTTTTGTCCTATTGATATATTCCCCTTTTGTGGTGATGCGTCAGTGGCAAGCCAAGGCTTATGTAGGCTGTTTGTTTCCCTAGCTGTCTGTTTGTCCATCCATTCCAAAAAGTGGGAGGAAGAGACTTTATCCCATGTAGCACTAAGTAACTCATTCCATTGGCACAAGGATTTCTCCCCTTTTTTATTAATAGTTTTAAACTGAATTTTCCAAAAAGGAAACAGAAACAATTGCAGTCAAAAAATACAAACTGAATAAATCAAGACAATGTGTACTATGCATGCGAGTTAGGGGGAGAAGGGGGGAATGGCTGGTGGCCCACCCCACCCCAGTACTCAGACATTCAAGCAAATAGCTTTGTATAAGAAGTCCATATATCTTCCCATTTTCTTGTGTTTACAGAAGGTCACCTCCTCATATGCTGCCAGCTGAGTCCTGTCCTCTGTGCGCTGCACAATCACAGCAGTAGGCTCTTTCTTGTTATCTTTAATGGTTAGATGTTAGACCATGAGTGCTCTTAGAAGCTAGTCCCTTAGAAGACAAGTTCCAAAGGACTGGTATGTAACTCAGTAGTGTAGTAACAGCTGTAAGGACTTATGCCCAGTTACCTTCCTTCCACTCTTTCCAGGCACAATCTGCACTTTAAAGCTCCGTGTCTGAGTACCCCATTTTTTTTCCTCCAGAGCTTTTACCATGGAAACTCGCTCTTTAAATCTCAGTCAGTGCAAATGGCAATCTGCAGAAAACCCAATTTGACATTTGTTTCGATTGAGCGCTAAAGAACAGGTTTTCGCAGGGAAAGTTCCAGGGCAAAAAAGGAACAATGCTCAAGACACAGAACGTTTAAGCATGGACATGTGCCTGAAAGTAGCAGGGCAAATTGTAAGTGTGGATAAGCCCTAAATATCAAGGAGGTATCTAAATCCATATTTATTCTGCTGATGACCTCTAACCAAAAGACTGTGACTCTAGTAGAAGACTGAATCAACAATGATTCACACTTGTGCAGTGGAACTTCCTATCCCTGTACACGCACACAACCAGTCTGTTCTGGTTCCCCAATACCAATCCTACGGAGCAGATTTGGAGGGTGGGTGAAAGTTTTGCTCAGCAAGCATAAATCCTTGCACTAATAGAATGAGTGCATTGGATAACACCTGAAGTCAAGGCTTTGTTCCTTGAAGCATATGCTCCATGAAGATGAGAAACAAAATCCTGTTCCATTCTTCCCATTTGGCTTGTTTTTCGGCTAGGTGAACACAGCCATGCATGAGGCCAAACTGATGGAGGAGTGCGACGAGCTAATGGAGATCATCCGTCAGCGCAAGCAAGTGATTGCCGTCAAGATCAAAGAGACAAAGGTAGGACCATGCTGCCTAATTTACTTTGCCCCTCTGCACTCTGGTATGACCTGTTACGTCACCCTTAATTCTGTGAACCATTTGCTTGGGTAATTAATTTCTTTATTTTTCAGTGGCTGTATATCTTTCGAAATTTCCCACTGAGATGGGAATAAAAGGCTGTGTATTCATCATCCAGAATTGACCTCCACAGTCATTTACAGACACATGGTTAAGACTTTTTTTCAGGGAAGACAATCTTACTTGGCTATGAGTGATCGCCAAAGAAGAAGAAGATACACCATACATGGCTTCCCCCAAAGAATCCTGGGAGCTGTAGTTTACCAATAACAGAGTTTTTTTTATTATTTTAAAAAAAACTACAATTCCCAGGATTCTTTGAGTGCATGTGCTTTAAATATAAGGTGTGTACACAGCATTTCAGACTCATATTTAGGGAAGCAGATCTTTTCTATAAAACCTGCCTTTGATGGCCAGAGATAAGGGAGAGTTGAGGTAGCAAATAATGAGCATTCTGAGACCCACATCAACCCATTGGGATGGAGTGGGCTGCAAGTCAAAGAAAGAAAGAAGGTCCATATTTATTAAATAAGTGCACAGGACCCCTTTCTTCATAGAAGCGTAGCTGCTTGCAGTCCAATAAACATTATTTTATTCTTCCTTTAATCCTTCTGCAATATTGGGTGGACATTACACCTCATATGTTGCAGAGTCTAAAATTGTGAATTTATGACAAGGATGAGGAGAGGAACATAAAAGCCCTGCCACAGGTTGTTCCCCACATCCTGGACAGTGCTTTTAGGGGCCTTGAGCAGAGGGGTGTGTGTCCCCTAATTATATAGACAGTACCCAAAAATTGCA